AAGATGTCGGCGGTGGCGGGCGGTGAGGGGACGGCGGAGGGCCGGCAGCGCCAGCTCGAGTCCCTCATCCGCGACCCGCGCTCGCCGGTCAACGTGGAGAGCCTGCTGGTAAGCGCGGGCGGGCACAAAGGGCTCCCTCCACGCCTTCCTCCCCCGCCGGGTTTGGGAGCCCCGGGGGGCTGGGAGCCATCGTTGTGGTCGGGGCCTGGCTGCCTCGGGGAAGCGCCTGCAACTGGATTTGGGGCAGAGCTGCTGCTGCTTGGCAGCGTCCCCCGGCTCTGGGCTTTATCCTTGGCTCCTGCTGGGATCAGGGGTTGACTTGGAGCTTAGTCGAGGACTAGGAAACAAATCCTCCCTGCTGCCTCCCCTTCTCCTTTCCCTCCATCCTGTGGGCGCCTCCTGGCAAGCCAGGGGGGTGAAGCCCGGCTGGTCTCTGCTCCCAGGTGGGCACATGCTGTGTGGGATGGAGAAACGGCATGGGTGAGGGACGCGCACGCGTCTCAGGGATGCTGGTGGGTAGGTTTGTTCCTGTGTGGGTGGGCTGAGTGAAGGTTTTCCTCTGTGGGAAATGGGAAGAAGGAGGGAAGATGTCCTGGCTTGAAAAAGGGTGTCACATCACTTTTCTTGAGCTGGGAGGCTTCTCTGTCAGGCCTTTGGATGCGCCCGGTGAATCATGGGATCCGGGCGGGACCGCAAACCCCCTTAGGCGGGCCACTGGGGGAAGCGTTGGGCAAGTTTGGGGGAGTCTTCTCTGTTGGGGATGCTGCTCCGGTTCAGAGTGGCCCTGCTGCCCTGGGGGAGCATTGGAATTTTTTTTCCTCCGGGTTTCAAACTGTTCGTTACCCTGAGAGGCCGTCGGAGTCGTTACAAAAATGACTCAGTCCCCTTTGGCTGAAGTACAGGAACTGACTGAATCGTGCATGTGTGCTGGGGGGTGGTTACAGGGATCTCCTGTAACTGGCATGAAGTTCTTGTCATGGTTTGATCATTATGCCATTCCTGTCATGGGCACTGAGGTTTCCTGATGCCCAGGATGCTTGGCAGAGGGAGTGGGAAAGGGTGCTGTAGGGCACTGTGGCCTCTGGTGGGGTCTAGCTTTGGCCAAAGCAAAGAGAGCGCCTCTGGGCTTCACTCCCAGCATTTTCACTTTGGTATTTTGTTAGGAAAACTTTGACCTATGGCCAGAAAGAGCAGTTAAAAATAGTACAGCAGATCTGAAAAATTCATCAGGTTAATACTTAACCCTGACTGATTTTTTTTTTTTCACACTTTCAGCCTGTTAGTACAGACTTTTGGGGTCTGGATGGGTAGAGGTAGTAAAAATGAAGCTTTTAATGTTATCCTGAAGAAAAGATATTTAATGCAAAATTAAGACCAGTGTCTGCCTGACCAAAAAAAATTCATGTATTTGTCAGCTTACAACAGTGTAAGGCAGTTGAATCCCTTTATGTAATTATTGAGGCAGATTACTAGTGTGTAAATTTTGAAACCATATGTTTCCTTTGTTATGAAACTAATGCATTTATTATATTTTTTCAGTTGTTTATGAAAGTTGTTTAGTAATTTTTTTTTCAGTTGTTGTAGAAATTTTTCTCCAAATATCTTTACTCCTGTGTTTTGATATTGTGGCTTTGTGAAACCGATATGGTTAAAAGTGTCATTGTGTGTCCATATTTATTTTTCTCAAAGCTTGACTTTTGGAGCACAGAAACATGAAATGCAAGTTGTGAAGTAAATTTCTTTATAAATAGGTCACTTTTAGGTCAAATTGTAATAAAAAGAAATATATTTCCAATGGAGGTGGAAATACACTGGCAGTCTTAAAAAGGCTAATTACATTAAGAATGTTATTAGTTCATCCACCAAAAATAATGTAGCCAATTACTGTCTGAGTAGGAAGAGTTTAGAGCTTAAAATATAGAAAGGTATTCAAAGTGGAATTTACTTCCTTGCACTGTACTTCTAATAAGTCATAAAACAGCTGCTGTTCTGCATTTTGTGTGTGTGTGTGTTATTTTTGGTAAGCCATAAAGAGAGAAAAGTAATCGTGTTAATCTGCAACATATGCTGAAATTTAAAAGAAATGAAAAACGGAGGTAAAAAACCCAGTCTTGCTCTAGGTATCTGTTTGATAGCTTCTAAATCAACCGTTAGCCTCAACACACCACTCATAACTTTTGTGACTAGAGCAGCAACCGATTTAAAAAGAAATAACTTGTTTAGTACAATACTTACCTCCTTGCAGAGGGTCTGGGCACTGGGGGTGTGGGGAATGCTTATTTCCTCTTGCCTTGCATATTTCTTCACAATTCATGATACCCTTCAGAGAATCTTGTGTTGTCAGCCCTGGGCACCCTGGTTGAGAATCATTCTTCTAAATGGATGAATCTGTATTGTCTGAAGTGGAACACAAGTAGAGTCAGAGGAGTTCCAAAACAAATGCCTTGATTTTCTTTTTTCTTTCTGTTTTCTGTCTTTTTATGTGACGAGGTGGTTGGATAATCTAGTCCAGTGATTCTCAGTGAGGGTGCTATGATGCATTGGGTGCATAGGGTGCCATGTAATCTTTTTAAGGGTGCTGTGGAGAGCTATGTTTTATTAGCCCTGTTAGGTGTGCAAAAACCTATGCATGATTTGCAAGGTAAACTTAGCGATTTCAAATAGGAACTCCCAGTATTAACCAACACCCCCCGCCCCCAGATCATTCTGTCCTGTTGTGGTCTTTCTGATTTATTTGCAGCAGAATTGTGCTATCTTTTTTCTGTAGCCGAAAAACCCAGTGAAAACTAGGAGCTGGCATTTTCCAAGGGGTACCTTGAGTCGGTGAAAAGGCTGAGAACTGCTGATCTAGTCTGACCTCCTGTGTAGCACGGACCCCTAATTTTTTACCTAGAATCCCTGTATTGAGCCAAATAATTTGTATGTCTAAAGGAGCAAAATATTCAGTCTTCATTTAAATACATCAAGAAATGGAGAATCCAGTACTTCTCTTGATAGTTTTCCCCGGTGGTTAACTACTTTTACTGTGCTTAAAAAAAAGTGCTTTATTCCCATGAATGTGAAATCAGAACTATAATACAGGAATACTGTATAGTCTCAGCAGTACCATGTGCAGAGATAAAATCGCTTCCCACCTTCTACTGTATTGCCTTCGATTTATTAGATTGTTAAATTTGTAGTGATGTTGGAAAAAAGACATGGGATACTCATGTTCAATAGCTTGCCTACTATGACCCATAAATCCATTGTTTTCCATTATATAGTCTCTTGTGCTGTAGGTGTGGCCTGCATTCTTTGCAATACATCTTGTTATACATCCGGGAACAATGAATTTTGTTTGAATGCACCCAGCTGATCAAATGATCAAGATTACTCTGTATATCTGCCATATCCCTATCATTTTCCATTCTAACAATATTTGTGTTCCCCACAAATTTTATTAACAATGATTTTATATAATTTATAAAATCACTTATAAATATGATTATAAAGTGCACATTTATGTAAAATTGCACATTTTTTGTATCATCAATGAAAATGTTGGATGGCATCAAGTCATGTAAGAATCCTTAGGAAGCCTTATTTAGAAAACTGCTCCCCCATTGCTAGCTACTTTTTGGACCTTGGTAGTGTCTCAAATGTGTGTTCTCCCCAAAGTTGGCTCCTCCTCCCTTTACCTTCTGTTCCAGTTCCTGATCCCTCCAGGCCCAGCCTGGCCAGCTATGTAGCTTATCCCTGCAACACTTGAATAAGTTTTTGTGTTGACTTAAAGGTGCTCTGATAGGTGTTGGCTAACACCATGTTCTAAGGCTCAGGGATAGCTAGGGCAATGCAGGCTGGCCGTTCTCTTCACTTTGGCTGTATAATTTCATCGTGTTAGAGTGTCTCCAGGTTTTGAGACATTTAAACCTCAGCAGCACAATATGGACTTAAGCATGTGCTTTAGATGGGTTTGAGGCAAAGAAGAAGTTAAAAGGAAATAATAGTAGTTAATCTCTTGGTACATGCATCTCTGCAGTATTTAAGGAGTTAAAATGGCTCGCTTAATTTTAATTAAAATGTATTTATCTTTGATAGTAAAGTTGGCTTATACATTTTTAAGTTAAACTGCAGTGAATGGTAGAATGAACAAAGAAAACATATACTTCTGGTAAAACTTCAAATCTGTGTCCAATATCAAGCAGAAGCTTGTGGGATATGAAACACACACACACTGGAGTAGGTAAGAGGAAAGTATGCTAGCTATGTCTATCTGCAGCAATCTCATCAACGGAATAGATATCAGCTTTATTCCAATTGTGCTAATTTGGGCCCCAGTCCTGAAAGCTGACCTGCCTTAGCAGATCATTGAGTTGAGCCCTATTGGCATGGGGGCTTCTTGTAGTCACCAGGGTCTGCTTAGATGGATGACTTTGCAGAAGTAAACCATTCCCATTTTTTCTTTCATTAGAAAAGCTGCCCTATTGCTATTCTTTTTTTTCCGCTACTGAATTCCAAATGAGTAACACTAGTCCACTTGCTAGTTACACCATCAAACACTGGCAAGAATTCAACTTTTAGTAGCTGGCAGATTTTCATTTGAAGAGATGCAATAAGATAGTGGGGAGACCAAATGATCCTGTGTTCCCCTCATATCGAGAATGCAGTTTTTGGTAAAAGTGCAGAGAACTAATTAGATATAGTGTTGCATTTCTTAAATCTTGTTTCTTTTGATCCCAAATCTGTTCCATCTTTCTTTAACAAAAATAATAATTTTGGAAGCTCTGTTAAATACCTGAAGATGATGAGTCTGAAAGTGGTGGTGTTGGCAGACTTTTGCTGTAGTCTTAAAGGCAAATTTCTCAAGCCACTGGGAACATAAGCATTCCTTTTGTGGCAACTGTGCAAGTTCTGGAATATTATTTTTTGATCCAGTGCAGTATGAAAACACATCTTGTATTTTAGAAAACTGTACTTTGACTTCATAGATTTAATAGATTTTCAGGGTCGGAAGGGACCTCAGTCGATCATCGAGTCTGACCCTCTGCCCTGGGCAGGGAAGACTTGCTCACTTCAGTCTCATTCTTGCAAATGGAAATATGCAAGTGGACTCCTGTGCAGCCCCACTG